CTGTTTGCTCGCTCAGCTACCCCGTTGGACTGTGGAGAATAAGCTGTGGTTTTTTCCTTCATGATCCCCCTCTTCTTCAGCCAATTCTCCAGCTTGTCTCCAGTAAATTCTCCACCACGGTCAGTGCGAATCCGCTTCACCCGACATTCAGACTGTGTTTCTGCCGTGGGAATCCATTCATCCTGAATTACTGCTGCCGCATCGCTCTTTTGCCCCAGAGGGTAGGCCCACATGACTCTGCTCCAGTTGTCGATGATCGTGAGAAAGTATCGCTCTCCCCCGTCCCCTTGCACTGGCAGTGGTCCGACGAGGTCCATGTGCACTAGTTCCAGCGGCTTTTTACCGCGCTTGGAGACCGAGGAGAAAGGGAATCTGGTGAACTTGCTCACCAAGCAGGTTTCACACGTGTGTTGCAGGGCGATGCCGTTTAGCTTCAAGCCATTTACCGCTTCTTCTTTTACCAGCTGCTGTAGTACCGTCATGTTGACGTGTCCTAGGCGCCTGTGGGCAGTCACCCAATCTGTTTCCCCGCTCCTTGCCGACACCCGTTCCTCTGACACACTTAGGGCGCTGTTCTCCCCCTGGCCTTTGATCTCATCCTTTTCCCATGGTACCACCGGTAGTTGCCACATGAACCTGAAGACATCCTTGTCTTCGCGCAGATCCCATAGAACTCGATTTCCTAACTCCCCCTTAAAGCTTTTGGATTCATTCGTGTTGGTGCTGACTCCGACCTTGCCAAGCCTCCTGAGCGAGATCAGATTTGCCTTTAAATCCGGGACCAGCAGCACGTTCTCTAGTATAACAGGGTTACCGTCTTGTCTTTTGAACAATGCTCGGCCTGCTCCTTGTACTAGCAATGTGCGTCCTGATGCTAGGTATGATCAAATGACCCGACCCGACCCGACTTGGGCGGGCCAGCCGGGTTCCGGGTCGGGTCGGGTCGGGTCGGGACTTTTGAGATCTCTGGCCCGACCCTAGGGATGAGCACGGGGCGAACACGAACATGTTCGTGTTCGCCCCTAGACGAACACATCCGTTTGCCGAACCGAACACTGTTCGGTTCGGCGAAATTTTTAAGCAAAAACCCGTGTTCGCAGCTCGCCTGTGAAGGCGTGTTCGGGCGAACCTCGAACACGTTCGTGTTCGTCGCGGGGAAAATTGCAGCAGCGGCCCGAACACGAACGTGTTCGGGCGAACATCGAACACTGTTCGGCGAACAATTTAAGCAAAAAAAACAAACCTGTTCGGTTCGCCTTGTGCTCATGTCGGGCCGACCCGGGTATCGGGTGCCGGGTCAGGCTTGACCCGCCCCCGGGTCGGGTCGGGTCGGGTCGGGTCGGGTCGGGCCGACTCCCACAGGCAGGGTTAGAGGTTCTCCTTAATAATGTGCAGGGGTGCGGGTCTAGCGACATGCGCCTGCACTGCACGGCGCGCCGAGACGCCCTAAAACGCGGGCCTGCAATGCGCGCGCCTAGGGTGGGAGCGCGACCTGTAAATTTCGGATTTAAAAGAAACCCTAGGATGGTTGGCGTGAAGTGCGAATAACTTATAAAAAACGATTGGCTGAGTACTAACTAAACAATATCGTAGGTTCTAGGGTAGATTAGTACGCCAATGTTGCTTGGTGGGTGGCTGCTGGCGTCACTAGCTAGTTAACCTAACTTAATCCAGATCGAAATGCTAGTTGCTGGGAAAACAAGCAAGCGCGATTGCGATCTGGATAACATTGTCGAGAGGAAACCCTCGGGTCGGGCCAGTATCCGACCCGAGATAGGGCACGGTACCCAAAACCGGGTCGAGTCCATAATCGGGTCAAAACCCGACCCGACCCGGAATCGGGTCACGGGTCGACCCGACCCGGCCGGGTATACCCGACCTGACCCGGCCGGGTCAGTGGTTCAGAACTCTTGACCCGACCCGCCGGGTCTCTATGCTCATCCCTACCTGATGCTGATCGAACTTCCGAAATTGGTGCTGCACCGACTTTGTCCAATAGATCAGATCTCGGAGTCATTGTCCACGATGCTCTCGTGCCTAGAATCCAGGCGCTTAATGGGTGAAGCTCGGTTCCCAGTTTCGCTGACGTTCCATTTTCATTTTCTCCCCCCTCCACATGAAAGAACTGTCCTACCGATCGCTCATTCTGCTCTTCGTCATCCGCATAGTCTTCAGAGTCGTTGTTCATGGCTCCAGCTCCCCTTCCTTCATTAGACTGATTCGTGGGGGTCCACCACTCCGGCCTTGTGTTGCATTTAAACCACGGATGCCCGACCTTCTTGTAGTACCAGCAACGTCCTTGCATTCTTGTGTTGCCCCCGTTGGCTCCATGACCTCCTCGAATTGCTCCTCCGCCACGAGCATACGAGGTTCCCGGATTGCTCCTGCTGGTTGTTATCATTGCGGATTCCTTTTCCAAGCCAGGACCTTCCTCGGCCCCTTCCCCTTCTGCTGCCTTGCATCGCATAGCCGCTGCTCCCTTCATCCCCTCCCCTTAGCTGACGACGCCGAAAGTCTTCCTCGAGAATCTTAGATCGCACCCACTCTATGGTCCATAAGCTCTAGTTTTGTGGCAAGCTCAGGCCACTTGTAAACTGCAACTAGGACTCGGGCAGCAGCGACAACATTTTGAGACACTTGGTTTGTTCTGGATATGTCACCTCGGCAGCAGTGAGCTTGGCATAGATATCCCGCAACTTGTCGATGACACCTTGGATCTGCTCGCCCTCACTGAGTCGCAGAGACGACAGTTCCCGCTCCAACATCAAAGTAGCCACAACGGACGTTGGCGCGTGAAGGTCCTTGAGCACAGCCCAGGCTCGAGGTCTGCAGTCTTCTTTCGGGAGCAGGTGCATTATGTGCTGCCGTTGATTCTGCTCCAGGCTCTGGGACAGGAGGTAGTATCCTGCCGACGATCGTTCATCTCAGTCTGCTTGCAGGCTTGCATCTGATGGTCGCTTCTCCACTCCCGTCATAAGCTTGAGAAGCCCGATTTCCCTGGAGTAGAGTTGCATCTTCCATGACCAGTCATCGTAGCCGTCGCCATTGAACTTCTCTACGCTGAAGTTCCGCAGCACTTCCTTCAGAAGCGACCCCTGGTTCGTTCGAGCTCCTTGCTGCACCACGATGCCAGTTTCCTGAGTTCTGCTGCCCGTAGGAGCGGATGATCCTTCTCCATCCTTGGATCCCATTATGCTCTGCTGCCGTGTTCACAACGATGCCAGCTCTGATACCAGCTTGTTACTTCAGTATCACTTAGTTCCTACGCTGATGGTTCTACAATTACTGAAACAACTCTTCTCGGGGTCACCTCCGAGGATCCTTGGGTGCCTGACTAGAGTCAGCCCCTATCCAAGGGTCCGAGTTTGTTGAAAGAGCAATTCAGTAGACTAGAGTTTCAACAGTGGAAGCCCTTGTCACGGCGTAGGCAGAGAGTCCGTTGGACGTCAAATCTGATAGTAGCGTGTGAGAGTAAATGTGTGGCAGAGTGTTTCATTAATATTCAGAACATACATTTATATATTCTCTAGGCTGTTTCTACTGCTAGCTACCTAACATGGCTGAGCAATTCCTATCCTTAGCGAGGCGCGAGCAATTTTCGCGTTTCCCTCGTTTTATTTTTGTGGCTCAGCTAGGTTGCGATTCGCCGGCAAATGTTTTAGCTGTTCGCGCGGAATTTATTAACGGCGTTGATCCGTTGTGATTTTCGCGCCGTTCTGATAACGGCTCCGATCGATCCGTTTTGTTTATTTGAGTCAGCTTTGCTGTTTTGAACATGCGTGCTAATTCGGGCCAATCCCCTTGCTTGAATTCTGGTGGCGTGAGCAGTTTCGCCACGTGCTTTGATCGCTCGAGCTGTGAGCACTTTCTTGGGCTGACGTGTTCCAGATGGCGAAAGTGTAGCTCTCGAAATGTCGGCGCGCATGTAGCTGCCCTCTGCTTCAGCCGCGTCAGCTTGTTCAGAGCCTGTTTCGAACTTGTTCAAACACTGTTCTGAACATGTTCGGAACCGGTTCTGAACATGTTTGAAACCTGTTCTGAACATGTTCGGAACCTGTTCTGAACATGTTCAGAACCAGTTCTGGCTGCGTGTTCAGGACGACGAACTTTGCTGCGCGAACATTTGTCCAATCAGCGCAGTCGAAACCTGTCGCTTTGAGCACCAACAAACTCGCAGCGCGAACGGGAATTCCGTGCTGTCCTTTGCTCGAACCGAACCGAACCGACGCCTCCCATTTGTCGAAGCCAAATCCCCTTGAACACTCGACTCGATCATGAACGATTCGCCCCTGCCCTTTTCGCCTCAAATGACTTGTGCACTCCCAGGAGATAAACCGGCTAATTGATATACATAAAATTGATTCTGTAGTGCACAATGTTAGTAGTGGCGGAAATGCATAGGTAGGCTTGAGCAGAAGGACCCGGGGCAAACCGAACAGAAAAGGTTAATATGCCCCTTCATTTTTGGGTCGAACATGTTCAAGTTTGGTTCGTCGCGGATGGTGGAGCCGAGTCAACCACGGGACATTGGCTGCAACGAGCACAACTGTGTTCATCGCAATTGTCCTGCAACCAAAACTTTGAAGTCGCCGGGAAGGGAAATGTTGACCGAGCTCATTTTTCAGCTCAATGTTACTCGTTTTTTTAGCGAGAACCTAAACTAGCAGCAGCTGTGTTTGGTATACCTCTACTCGAGTTAAAAAGCATATCACATATGCATATTCCTTAGCTTAGCCTAAGGATGCCGCCAATGGCAGCTTAGCAAAGTACAGGGAAAATCCAAGGGGAAAACACGTCATCACCATGAACCGTGACAACACTCACAAGTCGTCGTCCCTTTCTGCATTTTTTAAGCTCGCACCAGTTTCCCACCTTTTTACAACTTTTCGTGGCCATTTCTTGCAGGTTAGCCTAGGCAATGAGCGGTTTAGAAGTGTTTGTTAGCATAGCAGAAGGGGGTGGAATGATTGTTCATGACGGCACCTTCTAGTAGAAGGCTTCTACCTTGCCATGACATCTTCAGGGAGGTGAAGTTGACATGCCAGCCACACCCGCATCATGCTTCGTGGGTGGCTTCTTGGCCATGCCCAGGCCGACCTCCAGGCACATGTTTAGGTGGAGTGGGCAGGCGTGGGCACGCGGACACAAGCCCGAGCTCAAACCTTCCCGCACGCATGAATACTATAGTGGTATTTCTGATGATGAGGAGGAGGAGGAGGAGGAGGAGGAGGAGGAGGAGGAGGAGGAGGAGGAGGAGGAGGAGGAGGAGGAGGAGGAGGAGGAGGAGGAGGAGGAGGAGGAGGAGGAGGAGGACGAGTGGGAGGAGGAGGAGGAGGAGGAGGAGGAGGAGGAGGAGGAGGAGGAGGAGGAGGAGGAGGAGGAGGAGGAGGAGGAGAAGGAAGAGGAGGAGGAGGAGGAGGAGGAGGAGGAGGAGGAGGAGGAAGAAGAAGAGGAGGAGGGAGTAGGAGGAGTAGGAGGAGGAGGAGGAGGATACCGGCGATGATAGCCATGGAGATGATGGGGTGGGGGAGGATGACGTGACCATGAGATGGGCTAGTTGGATGGAGGCCGAGCCGGAGGAGGTGGCCAAGGGACAGAGGATGGCGGATGAAGCCTCCCAGCGCCAGGGTAGAGTTGGGAAGTGTGAGAGATGGAAACCGGCGGTTCGCTAGGGGGGGTGGCGCAAGGAGGCCAGAGGTGGAGGAAGCGGAGTGGGAGGTGGGCCCTAAACCCTAGACATGGCAGAGTTAGCAGAGAGGTGGTTGGCGGGGGAGTGGCCCCCGCTGAGCGAGGCGATGAGTCACCAGTGGGTAGCAGTAAGGGGGTGAAGAAGACACGGAAGCTGGGATGGCAGGTGCAGATGTTTGATCCCTTGGTGATGATTATGAAGCGCAAGTACAAAATATGTGTTGATAGGATCTCTTCGAAAGGTATCGTCCCCACTTCAGACACACGCCATTACCAAAGCTTCCATACGGCTCACATGGCCATATGGGAGTATCGTCACGACCGCCCCCACCTCGAACATGTTCGCCTCAAATATGTTCCTGCTCGAGACGAACAGTAGGTTATTCGCCCCTAGACGCATAACCCAACTAGGGATGAGCAAAGGGCGAACTCGAACACGTTCGGGTTCGAGTTCTCTCGAACATCACCATTTCCCGAACCAGCACTCTTAGCTGAATGTGTTCGGGTCAGGCTGAAGAAGTGTTTGAGATATGTCTGGCCCGAACAGGTTCATGTTCGCGATTTGCTTAATTCTAATAGTAGGATAGGACAATGAGCCGGAACAACTGTGAATCCACAGTTCTTAGCATAGCGTACTCCAGTGTACAATGTCTTTGCTGTCTGGACTTGAATAGATTGATTGTGAGAAAGAAAGTTTGTAAGCCACCAGAAGAAGAGATTCAATTTGATGGAAAGGAGAGCTCAGGGCTAGCTTGTGGTTGACCAATCATGAGGGCAGATTGAGACTAGCTGGATTGAAGACTTGACTTGGGGATGATGGAACAAACGTCAGCTTTATCTTGTGGTCCTGGTCTTTGCCCTTCTCTGCTGGCTTTATTTCATAGAACTTCACTTTCATTCTCCTGCCCACGTATGGATGTTCAGAATCTCCCTTGCCCACGTCTCTTCTCTCTTGAACATTGCAAGACCTTGTCGTGAGGCTAATACGGAGAGATATGTGGCAGACCCTGGCACCCAGAAGTAGATGGCGAGGCTTCTTGCAGGGTTTAAGGTACACCATTGGTGATGCCTAGATTTCTACCCATGAATCTCAAGGATGCGGATCAATGGGCAGCCCCTGCCTGTCATTTTGTGATGGACCTCCAATAAACTTGGTGGGAAACCAACCTTTCACCACTGATGGGCCTTGGTGGCCTAACTCCAGCTTGCCCAGCTCTTCTTGCTAATGCCTAGCATGCATTTTTATACTCAAACTAAACACCAACTTATAAATCAAGGAATGAAGCACAGCCATCCAACCCATAGGCGAAATGTCAAATAGATTTTGTTGACACTAACAGGTATGTAAGGCTGCTCATGTAGCCGATGGTGGACGGAATAGGTCCAGTCAAATTGTTGAAGGCTAGAGACCTGATGGTTCATACCCATGCAGGGTTCCATTTTAGGGGGTAGAGAGAGATAGAGTAAGTTGTGGGTGGAGAACATTGGTAGAAACGAAATAAAAAAATAATCAAAGCATAAGCAGGGCGCCTTACACACATTCGAAAGGGCAGTTACAGGTGGCTGTAATAGTGGAAGATGCTACGGTGACATGTGAATGTGGCTGTTACACAAGGTACCGAACATAGTAGGTGCATCATGTTGTGACTACAAACTGGTTCTCTATACTTTAACTCTAAAACTGTAACAGAATTTTGTGAAGAGCAGGTATTACAATATTGGTCAACAAGGAATATAACAGGAGGTTTTGGCCTGAAAAGTTACACAAGCATACACACATGTATAGACCAAAGCAGCAGTGAGGAGTATAGTGTGCATGGAGACTAGTGGTCAATTGGATACCGAGTAAACATATGGTGCTCAATGTTGAGTGCAAAATGTGGTTTGCACGTCAACCTACTGCCTATTCGCCGACGATAAAGGAAAATGAGAGTTTTTGTTTTAAGGTAATTTGTGGAGTGTGAGCGCATTTGTGTGCTTTACATTTGTGCGTTTACGGTTTGTGAATCGCCTTAGCGGTTCATAAGTTACATGCATTTGAATATTCATGAATGTTCGTGAGTTTCCGTGAAAGCGCATGAAAGTTCGTGAGTTTCGGTAAGTTCGCATGAGTTCGTGATTGTTCATGAGTCTGCGTGTGCGCTCATTGTTTCTCATGTGTTTTCGTGAGTTTTTATTAGAGTTCATGAGAGTTCATATTTTTTGTGCGTTTTAGAGAGTGGCGAGTGTTTTACCATGTTGACTAGGTCACGCTGGTCAAGGTCAACCGCGCGCGAAGGTCAGGACCCGCGCGTGGGGTCCTGACATACGCGTGTGGCCCCTCAGGGCTCGCGCGTGTGCTTCGGCACTGTTGCGAGCGTGGCAGGGCCCACGATCGCAACAGGACAGGGCACATTACTGCCCTGTCTCACGCCAGGACAGCGCACGATCGCGTACGCGATCGTCCTGTCCTGCATGACCGAGAAATATCTCGGTCATGCTGGCTGGCACGTGGGGAGCTCGGGATTTACAGTTGAAAATCTGTATCCCGTGTTGACTTGGCAAACATGAGGTTCCGCCAAAAAGTCACGCCACATTGCGTGATCATTTCGACATAGTACAAAACGGTAAATTCCGTTTTGCAACGGGAAAACGGTTTTCCCACACGAGGCTTCATGAATGTTAACGGGAATTCATGACTACTCACGAGGGGAGTCAGCAGGGGCGTTTGGATCAAGTACAACTCGAAGTCAGTTATTCTAATGAAGCGGGTTAAGCCAAATGCAACTGAAGTTTGACAACCGTTTCACCAAGACAACATGGCGAAGTCTCATAATACAGTTTTATAACTGTTAAATGCTTGCCTTGTGTTTGCTTTGCTCGTGCATTAGTAGTTCTATAAATGTGTGCTTGTGTTTCATTGTAAACAACTTTTTGGAGTGAATATTTTCCTCTATCAGCGTATTGACGTGAAGAGGAATTTTTGCATACGAGCCAATCAGTCGTTATCGCTTCCGCACATGAGTTTGGGAATGTTCTAAGGACACACGACTTTCATACTTAGGGAAACCCTCTACAAACACGGACCCTTGGATAGGGGCTGCTTTAACCAGGCACCCAAGGACCCTTGGAGGTGACCCCGTGGGGACTATCTAGCATTGATTTAAAGGTGTGCTAAGGGCTTCTAGGTCCCATATATCAGTCAACACTCAAATGGTAAATGCTCGGATAGCCAGACCTTAGCATTTAGACAGTAAATGTTCAATGAGACGAATCCATGAAGCTAATGTCCATGCATATAAAGATAGTCTTTGGAAGCTCCATTCATTAGGAGGGGCTCAAAACCTTGCATCTTTTCAACTACCACGAAGCCAAAGGCAGGGTTGATAACAAAAAAAAAAAAAAAAAAAAACATGTTTAGGTCAAATGCATCATAAAAATGCTCCGTGGACGAATGACGAGTCGAGTTTTACTTGACTCAATTTAACAAGGTTTTTTTGGGCCACTAACTCAAATCAAGTAAAGCTATTCACGTTTTTTGTTACTCAGGCCGGACTCATGTCTCCACCATATGGTTTGCTTTGGTTTTACTTGTGGTTGGGTTTGAAGGAACTAAAGCGAGTTGAGCAAACTCAACACGAAGCAAACTGCCCGCCACCCACAACAGTGTCACATCTGTGCAGATCCGGCGACAAATTCCCCATCTTGTAGCGAATTGGTAGATTTCTGTGTATGTGGCAGCGAATTGCTCCCGGTGATTTTTTTCTGGCTCGATGAGTCAGAAAACAACTCACAAGTTTAAAAGCCTTGCTTAGTTTGGCAAGTTGTTTTTGAGTTAGGTTAACTGGCGAGTTAAACATGCCTTAATTCAGCGCGTTTTTCCAGGGAAAGTGGGGACTCAAAACTCAAGATTTTTTAGTTACTGATACGATTTGAGAAAACAATTGACTCGCGTGTGTGCCCGTGTATACTGTTCAGTGGGTAAACCAACCATGTTTGGTTGTAACGAACCCTTCTTTTTGAGAAGCGCGTTTGATTGTTCGCCATCGTAGTCGAACATATGTGTTTGTCGTAAACACAAACATGTTAAGGGTGAACTTGTTTGTGGTCTTCCAGTGGGTGTATTTTGCAAAAGTCACACTACGAGCAACCTTGAAATTTGCAGTGTATTCGAGTGCCTTACTCTCCGTATGGTTTGGGGGTGTTGTGGAATGAAGGAAATTGTGTTGTTAAGTTTGTAACATTTTTAGGACGTGACTAACTCAAACATGTTCTTGTTTGATGCTGCTTGCCACTCACTGCCGAACCAAACTGAACATGTTTGGGCTGAAGAGATTGGACCCACCACTTTTAGCAAGTAAGAAGCACCTTCTCGGTTCGACCTTAACATGTTTGAGTCCAACCAAATAGGTTTTCAACTTTTGCTCAAGCATAGCCAATACTTGCAAGTATTAACCATGCAAGTGTTGAGTCGAACACGCATGTGTTCGACCATGGTAATAATGCACTCAGACACTTATTTGAGTTGAACCAAACATGTTCAGTTCGCTGCACAATGTGCTCTGCAAGCGTTTCACTCAAACACATTCGTGTTTCAGTTTTTTCAATCCAGCATCTCACAGATGGTTTGTTGCTGGGAGGTCCTGCAATGTCATGGCCTGATACTGGCGCATGCGGCACCAAGTACACAGGGACGTGAGTTTTGCAATATCCTCGTTTTTGTCGAGTTTGGTGGCCAGGTTCAAGATTCCCATGGTTCAGTGGGCAGCTCCTACCTATCTATCACCATACGATGCACCTCCAATAGACCTGGTTTGAAACTGGCCCTATACACCTGATGGGC